TCATGCTAGAAATACATCATATTCAAATATTCATCAAAATAAACTCAAAAGTCTTTCATTTAATATATTTTCGTTTCATTGGACACTTGAACCACCTACTATGTATCGAAAAGAGATCTGTACGAATTAATCTCAATAATTAACGGAATAATATCCTGTCAACACAGTCGAGTGGAATATGTTCTTGTGACCAACATAGGCACATCCCTTGACTTCCATATGATCAAATAAGAAGTATTCCACACGTGGTGCCAATACTCATAATGTAATAAAGGCATAGTGATGCAGGGGAAGTTTATAGGAAAGACAAAAATCTCACAAAAAAAATTTCAATCAAGAGAAATTCAAGAAAACTTTATTTCATTCAAAATTGAGCTGCCTCAAAAGGTTTACAACGTTTAAATAGCGAAACCCTAATAAAATTCGGAAAGAAATTACATAATAATAAAAAATATTATTTTTTCCAAAAATGGAAAAAATTGAGATAATCACGGATCTTGATTCTCCTAATCATCAGGATCATCCCCCAACAAACGGAAATCAAATCCGAGTTTATTTGACTAAGATATTGCCAAAACAAAAATTACCATAAACGGCAAAAACGCATAATTGAGGGCCTAAACGATGGAATTTGCCCAAAATTTGACGTGCTTCAGGGCCAAAGGCCCTGAGTTGTGATCATTGGTCCGTTTTCACTCAAATTAGACTAGCAATTCGTCAAAAACAAATAAACCCGAAATTAAATTGAGTTATTATTTTGCCTTCATCACATAGTCAAGTGTCCATCCTCCGGTAACCATCAAAGGTACGCCCCATGTCTTTGCTTGTGATCACTCGAGAAATCTACCACTTGTGATGCCAACAAATATCACATGAGCATGCTTTGCATGCCTCGGTGACCTAATATTTGTCAACAAAACATTCTATTAATGTTAATTCAAATTTCCAATCACTTTGTAAATGCAAGATTCTCAACTATTCACATGCACCTGCAAATAGTCTTGAATGGCTTACTCAATCTAATTGGATGTCAATATACTTTGAAAAAACATAGTCAATCTCAATCATAGAGACTAACATACGATACACAATAAATTTATTATCAAGTTTATATAAGAGTCGCGACAATAATTAATAGAAAATACTTCAACATATGCATAGTATCCTTACATTTTGGTTAAAAATGGATTTTCCCGCCTGAGTGTGTCATATTGTACTTGTAAGTCAAGTCTCTCTCTCTCCAATTCTAGATGACAAACAACTTTTAATCCAAATATGTAATCATACATAAACTCTATGAAAAATGATAATTCAAGCAAGTGCTTCGTGAATGCTAAACTCTATTCCGAAGATAAGCTTGTAGCTGTTTCATGATTTCTAGAATTGAAGTAATTAACTCCCCGCTTGGTAACCATTCTTTTTTTCATTATCATTCTTCTACTAATTTTCAACCACACATTCATCAATAAAATAATATTTTCCATCACATCAATAACTTTTCTTTCATTTTCAACCACAAAAAAGGTGTGATTTGACACAAAGAATACATTTTTTTCTAGAATAATGGTTACCAAACGGTGCCTAAATTCACATATAATGACAAATTTGGAAAGACGTAGAAAATCCACTTATAGCGCAGAGCAGCTCACTTGAATCTTGAAAATGTCATTTCTTGAAGAATAATTTTCAAATCTGTGAACTTCTATACTGTTCAAAACATTTCTGCCCTTTTTCTTTGAAACAACATTTTGTTTTATGGTATATTTGTGCATGAAATAAAAGCAAGGAGAGGCAGAAATAGATTTTATTGACAATGTTTACTGTAAAAGAAATTAATCCTATCTCATGCTACATATATAAGACGTAAATGATTTGATGAATTCTAATTGAATTGAATCTTGATATTGGTGATAAATCTAAACCAATTAATCTTATTTAATTAAAGCTTAATTTCTGATCAAATTTTAACTTTTTTTCTTTTATCATATTTTTTTCTTACATTAGCCTTAACTTGGTTATGACTTGCCTAAAATAACTTTTTCTCGAGTTTAATACGCATGATTAAATGAGGGGTTTATCCAGATGTACCGAAGGGGGGTGACCGAATGGTGTCCTCCCCACTCACAAATGCGGCGGGCCCCATGTAACCGTTTAAAAATACATTTTTTACATCCATTTGATAGAGAGTAAAGCCTTTAGGGTTTATCCGGATGTACCGAAGGGGGGGTGACCGAATGGTGTCCCCCCCTCACAAATGCGACGGGCCCCATGTTTTTAAAAAAATGCAGCTCGTGGTCCCCACTCCCAAATGTGAGTGAGGTGTAAAAGATTAGGTAAAAAATTATGTACATGTAGCATAATCCTTAAATGAGAGCTGCCAAGCGAGTCCAATAGTGATATAGTAATTTGTCCTAATTTAGGAAATTACTATTATCCACCAAATTGTTTAGTTTCTCTAGATTAACTTCTTCTTGTGTCCATAATTCACCATTTAATTCAAGCTTCGAAATAAGCCAGTTCACCCTTTAATACAAACTTTGAAATAAGCCAAATATTGATAGGGTAATTTTCTCTCCTTCAATAATTAACTATTTAGCCCAAATAGATAAACTATGAAAGTTAATACTTATTTTTACTTTGGTCTCTCAACTATTAAGGATGTTCATATAGGTCCAATTAACTATTGAGCAAAACAAATTGACTTGCATAATGACTACACTAGACATGTCATTTTTATCAATTAGAAAAAAAATTGAATGTGACACAACTTGTCTTCTAGATGCGTTAAGAGTGATTGGCTCCGTTTGCGGATCCAAGAGTTTCAGTATAGTCGGCGAGTACAATGAAAATAAATTAAGGTTATTTTTGGGATGTGTGAATCTCACAAGTGAAGAAATAATATATTTGACCATTGAGAATTGGGAATTGAACCAACTTGTGAATGTATAATGCTGCACTTTGTTCTTCACACACACCCCCATTTTGCATGGGATAAGTCTCATTTTGCTTTTGCATTGTAACTTTGAAACAGTTCATAGATTTTATGCAATGTTTTCAATCATGAGCCAAAATGGCTTGTATCTAACTAAGAACTTGTTGCACTCAAGTCAATATGTTTTTGCTTTGGTCGTGTGTTTCCTTTTTTTTTTTTCTTTTCTTTTTCTTTTGTTTTGCGTTCGCTCAAGGACTAGCAAAGTATTAAGTTAGATGGTGTTTGATGTGTATATTTAACTCATGCACTTAGCACCATTTAAGCTTGATAAATTGTTCGTTCTTAAGAGTTGTAGAACGTTTTGACCTGTGTTTACGTGTTGTGTTATAAAATAGGTGAATTGGTGGAAAGGAATTTGAGACAACCAAAGAGTGGTGTTGATATGAACCAAGGAAAAGAGGAATTGAAGCCATACATTTCAAGAAACGAAAGAGGCAAAGTTGAAGAAAAAGGAAGAAAACATTACAGCCAGAGCGCAAAAGGCAAAGAAGAAATTTAACAGAACTGTAGCGCCTAGGCACAGTGTGTCGTTTCAACTAGGTTTTGGAATTTTAATTCAGATTTTAGAAACCCAATTCAACCCCAACTCATCTAGCACTTCAAAAAGGCATAAATATGAGAGGAACAACGAGAAGAAGATTGATTCAAGCTCCAAAATAATTTTTATTTCTTTTCCTCTCCATGTTCTTGATTTTGAATTATAGATTTTTTCTTATTCTTTAGTCATGAACTAAATCTCTCATCTAGGGTTTGATGTAATCAATACTTGATATTATCTTTTGATTTTTTATAATTAATTCCTTAAGATTTTTCAATTAAGTTTATTTGTGTTATTTATATTTAATGCTTTCAATTTGCTGGTCACATATTGACTAATTTGATGTTTAAGATTTGGCACTCAAGAGAGGAAATTTGAATTGTTCATAGAATAACACAACTTAGTTTTATAGGTTTCGAGAGAAAGTATAAATCTTTTGAAGCTTTTCCACGAAAAATCATAGAACTTGATAATTCTAAAATTCTTGATTTGGAATAAAGATATTGGAATTGAAATTTAGGAATAAGTTTTATTTGGCACTCGAGAGATGAAGCAAAATTATATTAGGATTCTTGCTTACAAATTTGAAAAATCAATTGGAGATTGTTAGAGAATTGATAAACATAGTTGATAGTTAGATGAAATCAAAACCATAGGCTCTTTTCATATTGCGTAATCCTTAAAACTTTGCTTTAAAATCATCGAAGATTTATTTAAAAATATTGATCATAAAATTCGATTGTCTAAATAAAACAAATGCTATTTCATCATAGTAATTAGTAAGAATTTGATTATCCTATTTTACTATTATACTATAAAACTTGACAATCGTGCGCTTGCGGTATAATTTACACGCCATAGTGGTCATCACACTTTTTTGGTTCGACAGGCCAAGGTAAAGATATTCTTATTATGCAAAAAGCCTATTTTGTGACTGACATGGAGCTCTAATGGACAATAGTGATTTCAATTCATAATAGATATGTCTCAAAATGCTCAAAAAATACCGAAATGTAAGAAAATGTACAAAATCCATGGAAAATGTACTAAAATGCATGAAATTTATCAACATACATGAATGCACCAAAATACACGACATACACCAAAAAGTCCACAAGAGTCCCGAAATTATTGAAATAATACAACATTCTTCAAAATTTACAAAAATGCATAAAACGTTTTTAAAAAAATGTGCGAAATACACAAATTTTTATCAGAATGTGTCAAAATACATAATAACGTGCGAAATGTATCAAAAAAAACAAAAAATGTACCGAGTTGTAAATAAATGAAGATTTATATCAAATCGACCGTGAATGAGAAAGTGTTCGTTTTCGGTTCCAAATATTCTGCCTTGGTCGGTCGGAACAACAGCAACTACTAGAGCAGAGGCAGAGCTGATCCTCCTTCAATCCATTTTAGATTAGATTTGGATCATCGTTGAGCTCCAAATCTGGCCATTAAGAGAAAATGTCAAGTTCTCAAACCCTTGGTGGACCGTCCCGGTGTGGCTGGCTACTGGGGCCGTCGTTAGACAAGATCATCAAGAACGTGGCTTGGAGGAAGCACTCCCAGCTAGTGTCCGCCTGCAAATCTGTTCTTGATAAGCTTGATTCTTTGCCCGATTTACCCGACGATCCCGCATCCTGTTCCCCCCTCTACGGTCTATCTTCTACCGATGCCGAATTCGTTCTCCACCCTGTCATCATGGCTATTGAATCCGCCTCCCCAAAGGTTGTTGACCCCGCCCTAGATTGTGCCTTCCGACTCTTCTCCTTTGGACTCATCCGTGGCTGCCAAATCGACCGCACTGAAGCCAAAGATAAGCCTTCCCTTATTTTTCGCCTCATAGATTCCATTTGTAAATGTACGGGCATGGGCGATGAGAACATTGAGCTTGCTTCCCTCAAGGCTCTGCTCTCTGCTGTTCGATCTCCCTTTATCTATATTCGGGGTGATTGTCTTGTCTACATTGTCAGGTCCTGTTACAACGTGTACTTGGGTGGCCAAAACGGCACCAATCAAATCTGTGCAAAGTCGATTCTTGCTCAGATGATGATAATTGTTTTCACCAGAGCCGAGGAGAATTCCATGCTTGTTAACTTTAAGACAGTTTCTGTGTTTGAACTGTTAGAATTTGCTGATAGGAATTTGAATGAAGGGAGTTCTATACAATTTGCTCAAAACTTCATTAACGAGATTGTGGAGGCCAAGGATAGCCTACCTGATGCAACACTATCCTTGGAATTGCAGAAGGGCGTGAATCACGCTGAGGCAAAAGCTGATGAAGAGATGGGGAAGGGTATATCAGCCAATGAGAGGGAAAATTTGAGTGATTACAGTATAATTAGAGAGGATTGCTTTATGCTCTACAAGAATTTGTGCAAATTATCTATGAAGTTTTCTTCGCAAGAACATCCAGATGATCAGATCCTTTTGAGGGGAAAAATTCTCTCCTTGGAGCTTCTGAATATCATCATGGGCAATGCAGGCCCTATATGGCAGACAAATGACAGGCAAGTGCCTTGTATGTAAAATATCATCCTTTGTGTTGCACTTGAATGTGCAGAGTTCAGCATTTCTTCTTCTAGCTATTGTTGAAACAATCAGTAAAAGATAGATGGAATAAGTGGCATGAAATTAGGTGCAAGTGGAAATAAAAAGAATGCAATTTCAGTAACTAAACACCAAGTAATATTTGGGGATAGATTAGAAGAATGTGCATTTTGGGATCTATATGATACATGTCTACCCTCGGATTAAAAGGAGACTCATAGGTACTTGCAATTGGACTGGTTATGAAAAAGTACAGAATTCCACACAAATGATGCAATTAATTGCTAAAAGGCCAGGTATAAAATGTTTATGAATAATACAAGAAATTATTGACTGACAATCTAGGATGATGTGCTTTGCTTATTTAATCAAGACTAGTGTTCTAAAAGGCCTGCCTAGGCAAGAAAATAGCAGTCAACTCTACGTTGACCGCCTATGGTGTGCCTGTGGAAAAAGGCGTGCACCATATTTTGGAGAATTATTGATTAGGAATATTTATGACTTTGAGAATTATGTTTCGTTGGAAACTTGAAAAATTTGTATGAAGTTCTAAAAATTTTAAGGTATGCATTATTATTTTTTTTCCTAAAATAATTAAGATAATATTAAAAATATGAAAACACCTTATTACGTCTAAGCTATTAATATTTGAAGCTTGACCTCCATGCTTTACACCTTTTAGACCTTAATCAAGAGTTATGAATTCACCTGTTGGAAAGAGTAGAATCTCAACATATCATGTTAAGGGTAAAGGTAAAGGAAGGGTAAGATCTGAATTAGCATATGGTGGTATAATATAAAATCATTTTGCTTGCTAATTTTATTGGTGAAATAGGATAATGGAGAGTATATCTAATCATGCAATAGGGATTAGTAACATTGAGGTGAATGCAGAGAAGATTAAGATGCTTCTTAAAAGTATCTAAGAATTACCTGCATTTTTTGAATTTTTCTTGGAACTTAGAATCCGCCAATGTAGACAAGCACCTGATCCCTATTTAGACATTTGTTAGCATGCTGACCATTTTTTTCCTACATTCACCATTTAAACCTTTACAAATCATTTCTTTTGGCTGATTATACCTCTAAAGAAAAATGATTTTATTGGAGTGGGAGGAATTAAAAGCTTGTTTGTGAATTTTTTATAAATCGTTTAAATTATAATTTATAAATAGTTAGAAATGAGTGGTCGAGAAGTGGTAGTACTTGTGGGTCCACGAAATTTGTGGAAAAAAGTAGTTTGCTCATTTATAAACATTAGCCAAACATTCATAGTTTATTTCGATTTATGAGAGGTGATTTAGTAAGCCATAGTGACAGTACATAGACTATTGAGTTGATTTAGTTATATAGTCCCAGCTAGGGATTAATTGTTAGCCATTTTCTTGTGATGATCCGTCAAGATACGTGAAATTTTTCTGAGGGACATGTTCGTAAAGGTGGCAAACTATATATAGATACTTATCTTTGCTGTTTTACTGTAAATTCAATTGGTGGGAAATGTAAAAAAAGGGAAAGAAAAAAAAAAAAAGAAAATATTTGAGGTTTTCATTTAATTTCAAATTAACTTGGATTTGGCTTCATCCCTTTGCATGTGGATCTGCCCTTGATTTTGATTTTCTTACATGACCTGTAAACAACAGCCCGTGTTTGAGTGAATCATAAGACCATGTTGGAGATGTTGCATTAAAGAAATTTCTTTTTCTGATAGATGAAAGAAGGAAGCTTTGCTTAATATATGGATTTAATATTAAACCTTATAGCTGTCTTTGTTATGCCTACTACATTCTCATTTATGCCAGAACGAAAAAAAAAAAAAAGAGAGAAAATTTAGAAGTAAAGATAAGGCAGGGATCCATGTCAAATTTCTTCTTTTTATCTTCGGGATTCAATTAATATATGTATGTATAAAGTCTGATTTTTTTTTCTCTGAAGAGCTAACAGGTTCATTCTCCACAGGTTTCTTAATGCTATCAAACAATATCTGTGCCTATCAGTGTTGAAGAACAGTGCACTATCTGTTATGACTATTTTTCAGCTTCTTTGTTCTATATTCCGAAATTTATTGTTAAAATTTAGATCCAGCTTGAAATCAGAAATTGGAATTTTCTTCCCCATGCTCGTACTTCGTGTGCTCGAGAATGTACTTCAGCCCAGTTTCTTACAGAAGATGACTGTTCTGAGTTTATTGGAAAAGATCTTACAGGATTCACAAATTATTGTCGACATTTTTGTTAACTATGACTGCGATGTGGACGCTCCAAACATATTTGAAAGGTACTTAGGATAACTATTGGAAATTGTTCCTTTCTTTTTTGTATCTATGAGTGGATTTCGACCGGGTGAGATCCTTACAACCTTGTGGAGTTAGTGAAGCCAGAGTTTGGGGTTCTGCGTTGTAAATCTCCACATTTAACATTATGACAACTTGAGATCATGATTATCGATCTCCTTCTTCCCCTAAGTCGCTTTGTCATTCACGCAATTAATATTTGCAGGATAACCTACTTGTCATCAGCAAAAAAAAAAAAAATCTTCTTAACAAATCGTTACAAAATTTCCCCACATGTTTATCTAGATTAAGCTGGAGTTCTGGTGATGAAGGGTCTTTGAAGCTAAGTTTGTTTATCCTAGTTTGGTAAAACAAAATTCTCAAGCTTATATGAGACTTCCCATTTTTGAGGGAAGTAGGAATAGGTAAATCTTAGTGGGAGTTAGGATGAAGCCCAAAATAGTGTGCTTTTGCCTTTTTCTTTTAATCTCTCTCTCTCTCTCTCTCTCTCATCCCCTCTTATGATCAATGATTTTAGCGTACACTTTTTTCTCCTTTTCCCTTTATCATTGAACTTAAAAGGCTTTTGGTCACTCAGTGATTCAAAATGTTCCCTAAAAAGATTAGCAGCTGCAGTTTCTAGTTTGTCTCATTTTTTCCTGTTAAGAAATAGCTATTTACTATATAGATAAAATATTTGGTATTTTTTTTTTCTGGAAAACTGTTTTACAGAGTTTTCCCGAAGAGCATGTCACAACCAGTGTTTTCAAAAGGGGCTATTAAGATATCAATTTGCAGGAAATATGTTCCCCTTGTCTACATTAAGTAGAGCTATTTAAGATATCTAGACTGATTTGATTCATTGGTTTCCGAAAAGACCCATGGTTGAAGACATGACTACAGCAATCTAAAAATTACTAAATACCCTCAACCCCAAGACCAGAAGGTCCCTTGACTTTGCCCTTGCACGGTACGCTGGATAACTGACATTACGACTCTCTCACATGCGCACAAACACTTGCAACTGCACTGCAAATTGCAGTAGTTGCTATTGCTTAATTTTTTTGTTTGTTTAGTTAATTGTATTAAAACTCCTTTAATTCTGTAAGCTACTTGCAGGATTGTCAATGGCCTTCTGAAAACTGCTCTAGGTCCGCCTCCTGGTTCCACTACTTCATTGTCTCCAGCCCAAGATATGACATTTCGTCATGAATCAGTGAAGTGTTTGGTCAGAATCATCAAGTCAATGGGAACATGGATGGACCAACAGCTGAAAACTGGAGAATCCAATCTGCCAAATTTCTCTGATAATGAGACCTTGATGGAGAATCCCACAACCTTTAACGAAGACAGAAATATTGCTGAAGAGCTTCATTCAGAAGCAACTTCTGAATTTGCAGGTGCTGCAGCCTTGGAGCAGCGCCGAGCTTATAAATTAGAAATTCAGGTTAGCAAAGATTTAGGCCTTGTTTTGCTAATTTATTTATAATCAGTCAACCAAATTTTTATCCAAATATTTCAAGTACCGACTTATCAATCATTTATATCTATTTATAAGTTAAATTGTTTGTAAACAACTCCCAATCATGTTTTTACTCTTTTCTCCTCTAGACTAGATTTCCAATAGGTATATTCTTTTGTTATCTTTTTGCCGATCTACCACTAGGATATGGTTTCACAATGAGCCTCTTAAGGATTTATTACTTTGCTAATATCTCTCTCAGTCTCATGTGTGTGCGCATGTGTATGTGTGTGTTTGTATTGTTTGCAGTTGTTATATCCTTTAGTAACGGACGACAATGGTTTAAATGCAGAATGGTGTTGCACTGTTTAATAGAAAACCTTCAAAGGGGATTGAGTTCTTATTAAGCAAGAAAATTTGCAGCTCCCCAGAATCAGTGGCAACTTTTCTCAAAAATACTACTGGCCTTAATGCTACTGTGATTGGCGATTATCTTGGAGAGAGAGAGGAATTTCCTTTGAAAGTTATGCATGCATATGTTGATTCCTTCAACTTTGACGGAATGGACTTTGGTGAAGCGATCAGATTTTTCTTAAGAGGATTTAGATTACCAGGAGAAGCTCAAAAGATTGATCGCATCATGGAGAAATTTGCTGAGCGGTATTGTAAATGCAATCCAAATTCATTTACTAGTGCAGATGCAGCTTATGTTCTTGCATACTCTGTGATAATGCTCAATACTGATGCACATAACAGTATGGTAAAAGATAAGGTACGCTTTGTCCGTTTACCTTTTCTCACTATGCCTTTATTTGAGCCCCATTTTGTTGAAAAAATAGATTTTGCAATAGTGATTTGTTTTTTAAAGAATGTGTGGTTAAAAAGTAGAAAAAAAATCTAGGTTTACATGTAAAATTATTTTATTGGGAGAATGTGTGGTTGAAAATAAGTTTGGAGAAAAATGACTTTTGAAATAATGGGTCTCAAACAGGGGCTATATCTGTTTTCTCTATTTGAACGTATGTTTTCTCTATTTGAATTGTTTATGTTTTGTGTGAATATAAGCATTCACATGATTAATATTTAGTTTAGCCTGATATCATTTTCAGAGAATGGCAGTAAACAGGATTTTCTCACCCTATGATGTTATAAATAAATAAATAAGCCTTTTGACACGGTTCTGCAATTAGAGGTCTATTATGATGCCCATATTAAAACCCTACTCCAAGTTCTCATGCTAATTTTAGGCCCAGAGCTGTTATAATCATGATTTTTACTATCCAGATTTGCAATATTGATTCAGAGTCGCATTTAACATAAAGAAATAACGAGTAGGAATATGGTAGGATTGTAGGGAAAGTATTTTTGTCTTCAAAAGCAAGGCTTACCACTAAGGCACATCTCTCATGACCTCAAAGCTTATCCTTTGAGTGCCATAGGTCAAGGCTTAATCTTAACTTATGAGTTGCATGCCTCAAGGCATAAGCCTTGAGGGTGCTTATGTTCCTTTTGTTTATCTTGTCCTTTCTGAGCATTTTGTTACTGGCACGAGCATTTGGACTAGTTTTCTATAGCCTATAACTAACTAGGGCTTACATGGACACGACACAAAATGGACATGCCAACATGCAATATTCCAAACTAGTAGGCCTGGACACATTGATTAAAATTATATGAACTTTTTATTTTTTAATTCTTTCAAAATTTTATAGTTTAAAGCAAATAAATGGAAATTATCAGAGGTGATGTAATAAATAAAAGCGGAGCGTTGTCACAACAGAGGGATATGTCGCAGGAGAACACCAGATGCAGCCAATGAATTCCGTAAAGATGGGTTTTGTCTTTTTGTTCAATTTGTAATTGTAGGGGTTAAATCATAATGTTGATAGTTAAGAAAGTGCACTGCTGTTGAGAAAATAAAAATTTTGTCCCACTCGTTTTTTTTATAGAAAAAGTTCTCAAAACAAATCGGTATTTGCGAAGTTATGAAAAAAGCGCTCTTTAATTGTTCATTAGTGTTTTACCCATTTCATTTTGCACAGTGCCTTCACGTATGAAATAACTCCACTCAACATCGTTTGACACTGCCAGTTAGTTTCTATTTTCTATTTATTTTTTCGATTATTTTTAAATACACATGGCGTGTCTGCCGTGTTTGACTCGAAACCCCTCAAAAAGGGGGGACACACCACCTGACATCTCCAATACCTGTTGGACACCAGCACACCGGTGCCAGCAGTGTTTCCATGCTGCCTAGGAATATAACAATGTAAGGTTTTTTTGAGCTATTTAAAATTTTACCAACCCCTGGATTTGTTCGCATGATTTATTTATTATGAACTTTTTAGATAGTTTATTATTATGAGTGCAATTCTGCATTTTAAAATTTTCAAGTTATTTTATTGGTTGATGCTAAAATTTTCAAGTTATTTTATTAGTTTATGCTGTGGCTACTCCTTGCCTTGCAGAAGCAAAACACCTCAATGCCGACTTAACCTTTCTAAACACATAGTAGTAGGATCATGGAAATGATTGTAAAATTCTGTGATTTTTGGGTGATCCTTCTTTTAGGGAATGGATTAAAAAATTTCTAAATAAGAAAATGGCAAAATTTCCCAATCCCAAGTCATAGAATTATATATATATATATATATATATATTTCTTGGTTCAAAAGTAAAATTATAACAGGTTCTTGTTCTCCTTTTTTCCCCCCTTTTTTCTTAGAATCTTATGATTTTATGATCTGATTCTATAGTCTGATACTCTGATTCATCACCTCGGAACGATCCTGATTTTTTATGAGCCTTGCATCATTACACGGCATTGAGCCTCATTTTTTTCTTATAAGATGGGCGGGGAAATGTTAAGAAACCTATCCTATTTGGTTTGGTTTATAAATGTGCTACTCCACCTAATACCATATGGTTTGGCTTGAACCTCATTAGCTTATAAACGGTCCTTTTAACAAGATACATTTTGAAATCAAGCCCATGAAACCAGGAGTTCTGAAGAATAATTTAGTTCCACATCAATTGCTCTCACATTTCATGGACAAATTGTCCATGTGAAGCCATTGGAACTTTGTTACATGTAAAACTATGAGACCTTATATTTGAGATTTCTCTGTATAGTGTTGCTGTGGTTGGCATTACATGGTAAACAGGAAATTCACTTTTATAGATAAATAATTGAATCTAAAGATGAAAGAGTCATCAATTTTCCAGGTCTCTTACTATTTAATACTGTAAATCCTATTCAACTTAATTGTCCAAATTTTTATTGTTCTTTATGAATACTTAGCTTCAGAAAATTGATGACTCTCTTCAGAAAATATTAGCTTATCTAAATAATTCTTTAGGTGTTGCATATGATACCTTTTATACCCTCTTCTGTTCTTCAGGAAATTGGGAAAGAACTGAAAGATTATAATTAATCACTGCAATTAATGGCATGTGTTTGATCTGTTTACAAAGTATCTGATATTGCTTCCGGATAAACTCACATCTTTTAGATGTCATTAGATAAAGTAGTTTACGTTTCAGTTCATTCTGACTTCCATTTGACATTGTTTTTTACTCTTCAGATGACCAAGGTTGATTTCATCCGGAATAACCGAGGGATTGATGATGGCAAGGATCTACCTGAAGAGTTTCTGGGCACCCTCTATGATCAAATTGTGAAAAATGAGATTAAGATGAGTGCAGATTCTTCTGCTCCACAAAGCAAACAGGGGAACAGCCTTAATAAACTACTGGGCTTGGATGGTATACTCAATCTAGTTTGGAAGAATACAGAAGAAAAACCATTGGGTGCCAACGGACATCTAATAAGGCATATCCAAGAGCAGTTTAAAGCAAAATCTTCAAAATCTGAGTAAGACTTGTCTTTCTGCAGGTTTACTCCATTAGTATATTTTTCTGGTATTTACCCATCATTTTTATTTTTGGACCTATGAGAGGAGGATGGTGCCTTTCACCTAATAAAAAGTGAAAATGCCTATAAGGCACTCTTCAGATGATGGCAATGCTTTCAGTTGACTGATTAAATGGACTATCATGCTTTTTATACGGATTTTTTTTTTGTTGGTTCCTGGAGATAATTGTCATGTTGCATCCATGCTTTGAGGCCCTTTTTATTTTCCAGGAGGGAAATATAATGGAATATCCCTTGTTTGTCCCACTGCAGGAGTATATTCTATGCTGTCTCAGATCCTGCAATATTGAGGTTCATGGTTGAAGTCTGCTGGGGTCCTATGCTAGCTGCTTTCAGTGTGACTTTGGACCAGAGTGATGACAAGGAAACTACTTCTCAATGCATGCAGGGTTTCCGATATGCTGTGCATGTTACTGCTGTTATGGGCATGCAGACTCAGAAGGATGCTTTTGTCACCACTGTAGCTAAATTTACTTACCTCCATTGTGCTGCAGATATGAAGCAAAAAAATGTTGATGCTGTCAAGGTATTTGTCAAGGATATACACTAAAATTTATATATCCTGCCTAGATGACTTAATGCAATTTAAGTTATACCATTGTTTTTCCCTGCATGAGGACGAGTTTTACAAGTCAGTGATGCTTGTCTGGGGATATTCATCATTTATTTACACTATCCAGTTTTACTATGCTGTGGAAGTGATTAAGAGTGATATGTTGCTCTTTACCTTTAACATGCATATCATACTGCAACAATGCACATTTAAGTCGTAGATCTTGTGGTGGCACTGATATCTATGCATTACTTTGACAGGCAATGATATCAATTGCTATTGAAGACGGGAATTATCTTCAGGAAGCATGGGAACATATTTTAACATGTTTATCTCGATTTGAGCATCTCCAGCTCTTGGGAGAAGGGGCACCTTCTGATGCATCTTTTTTTACGGCATTGAATGCCGAAGCTGAAGACAAAACTTTAAAATCTGCAAGTTTTTCATCTTTGAAGAAAAAAGGAACACTCCAGAATCCTGCTATGGTGGCTGTCGTTCGAGGGGGATCATATGACAGCACCAGTCATGGAGTCAATTCCCCTGGTCTTGTTTCTCCCGAGCAGATCAATAACTTCGTTTCGAACTTGTATTTGCTTGACCAAATAGGAAATTTTGAGTTGAACCACATTTTTGCTCACAGCCAGAGGTTGAACAGTGAAGCAATAGTGGCTTTTGTGAAGGCACTTTGCCACGTCTCCATTTCTGAATTGCAATCTCCAACTGACCCTCGCGTATTTAGCCTTACTAAAATTGTGGAAGTTGCGTAAGATTCTTTTCTCAATTTCTCGATGTCTCCAATTCTTGTACAAAAACTTTCAGGATGAGATATATGATGAGAAATACAATGATATGACTCGTGTGTTATGCAGGCACTACAACATGAATCGCATCAGGCTGGTATGGTCTCGAATATGGAGTGTTCTTTCAGATTTTTTTGTGGCAGTTGGTTTATCAGAAAATCTTTCGGTTGCAATCTTTGTCATGGACTCATTGCGGCAGCTTGCTATGAAATTCCTAGAACGAGAAGAACTGGCAAATTATAATTTCCAAAATGAATTTTTGAGACCATTTGTGATTGTCATGCAGAAAAGCAGCTCCACAGAAATTAGAGAGTTAATAGTTCGGTGTATCTCGCAAATGGTCCTCAGCCGGGTCAATAATGTAAAATCCGGATGGAAGAGCGTTTTTATGGTAATTTTTTGTTTATATAAGGAAATGATTATAAATTTACTGTTATTGTATCTAATATCCACATACCCTGTCCTGTAGGCTTACTGAACTGAATTTATATGTTTATAGCTTGCTATATTCTTGAGACAACCATGCAGAATCCTCCTTTCTATTGTTATGGAAAAATACCTTAATTTTTTATCAATCGTACAAGTGTAGTTGCCTTATATTTCAAAAGATAAAAAAGTTCATCTTTAAAAATAATTCGTTGCTGCAACATTTTCAGGAAACTTTGGCAGTTTTCAGAATGCAAATGCCAGAACAATATTTCTTTAATGTTATTTATACACTAACTTATGGATATTAGACATAGCAATGTGTGTTCCATAATGTGATATATGAAAGCATCAGCTGTTAGAATTTGTTGCAGAGAATGTTCTATCTGTGGAATTTGTGGTACCTAGTACTGGCTTTGTATTTGTACTTGAAAGTTATTGTGGTGTCAAAATGTGTTACTATTGACCTTCCAAGTTTGTGCAATTAGTTTGGCCATTGGGATAGGTGACTGTGGCCATATTAATTGTGAAATTTTGGGAGTCTCATGCATATTTGGTTATTGATGACTGAGTTAGTAACATTGTAATGATCCAAATACATCTGTAATAAGCAATCATGATTCAGTGCTTAACTGTGTTACCATGCATAAGAGTGATGCATAACGAATTGATATACATTATTTTGGAGGCAAATTCAGCTTAAAGCTGGTGACGCATATTGTTACAATCTATTGCTGGATTCTGGGGTGCTTTCGCACTTATTGGTGCCTTAACCTCTCGGGATTTTTTTCACTGACACTGCATTTGTGTCGCTTCTCCATATATTCATCTTTTCTCTTTCATCCCATCTTTATCAAATTCATCCTATTAAATCTTTGTTTTCATTATTTTCCTCTATGCTTTGGGGACATGATTTGCTTTTTTGTTTCCCAACGTAATTTTAACTCACAAGATGCTTAAGAGTGCCTGAAACAGGCATCTGGAACTGCCTTCAATTTTAGGTGCCAATGGCTAGTCAGCTTTCGAAGCTGTATTAAAGCACCTATGAAGATGCTGGTGGTTAAACTGAAAGATATTGCTATAATGGAAGTTAAAGCATTGATTATGTGCCTTTTTTATTGAATATGACTTTGGGACCGTGCCTGTTTATAGCTCTGTGCAATTATCTTGCTTCATATATAGATTCCTCTGTTTGCAGGTTTTTACGGCTGCTGCAGCCGATGAAAGAAAGAACATAGTCTTGCTGGCCTTTGAAACCATGGAAAAAATAGTGCGAGAATATTTTCCTTACACAACTGAGACTGAGGCCATCACTTTTACTGATTGCGTTAAATGCCTCATCACCTTCACACAGAGTAGATTCAACAGTGATGTTAGTCTCAATGCTATAGCTTTTCTTCGGTTCTGCGCTGTCAAACTTGCAGATGGAGGACTTGTTAGCAATGAGAAAACCAAGGGAGATGATTCCTGCACTCTGGTAGAGAACAACAATGCTGTGGATGGACAAAGCTTTGTGGAAAAAGATGATTTTATGTCTTTCTGGATTCCTTTGCTTTCAGGTATTTGATTCTAGTTGTCCATGAGAGGTGTTGAGAAAGAAGTAGCAGCTGAATTTTTCCATAACAGATTTTTTAATTTTAGATTTTGGGACATGTTCATTTCATGTATCACTTTTTCATAATGATAATACCTCTCTCTCTCTCTCTCGACCTTTCTGCCCTTATGACAATACAGATATGAGACTTGAGCATACTTAATTTTCATAGTTGTTGTATTAATTCTTATAGTTTACTGCATCTATTAACCAGAAAACCAAGACCACCCCATTCCTTTCACAGCAGGCATCGCTGCTCCTCTCTTCCTGAAAAACAAGTTATAATCTGTCAAGACTTTAGTGTAGCTCTTTAACATTACTTCTAATATTATTTCAGGGTTGTCCAGATTAACATCAGATCCTAGATCAGCTATTAGAAAGAGCGCTTTGGAAGTTCTTTTTAATATTTTGAAGGACCATGGTCATCTTTTTTCAAGCCCGTTCTGGATCAATATTTTCAATTCTGTGATCTTCCCCATATTCAGTTCTGTTCGTGATAGTAGAGATGCACAAAAGAAGGATGACTGTTATCTGAAAAGTTTTGAATCCCCGCATCCTGACAGGAACATATGGGACTCTGAAACTTCTGCATTGGCAGTGGAATGCCTAGTTGATCTATTTGTCAGTTTCTTTGAAATGGTAAGGACTCAACTGCCAAGTGTCGTCTTGATACTGGCTGGGTTTATTAGAAGCTCTGGCCAAGGTCCTTCAAGTGCTGGGGTAGCTGCATTGATGCGTTTGACCACTGATTTAAGAGGCAGACTTTTGGAAGAAGAATGGCTAGATATCTTCCTTTCTTTGAAAGAGGCTGCCATATCCAGTTTGCCGGGATTTTTAAAGCTTTTGAGAACCATGGATAGCATTGAAGTGCCTGAAGTTGCTCGCTCCAATAATGACACAGAAAAGTCTTCTGGCCTCGGAATATCCCACGATGACTCCGAGCACGATAATCTGCAAACTGCTGCATATGTTGTTTCAAGGGTTAAAAGTCATTTATCCATGCAGCTGCTCATTATACAGGTGCTCTCTCATTCTCTCTGTGTGTGTGTGTAATTATGATAGTGTTATTTGCATCTGAACAGAATGTGAGGAGACTGCCTTTTTTGCGAAGGGAAGGCTATTGAGAAAATGTTATATCATGTTGATAACCTTTGCAAATACTTCAAAAAAAAAAAAGTCAGGCTTATGATGATTTTTTATGTTAGTAATTTCAATTAAATCGGGTTCGGTTCGGTCCGGGTCGGTTCGGGACTTTTGGACACCCCTATTATTAAGTTAGAAATTTCAATTAACTCTTAACACTTTTGTTTGATGAGAATCAGAGACCATATTTCTACACCTCATCACTTGGATGCTTTTATTTTGCTTCAGGGTCATCCCCTAACTCTGTTGTTTGTGAATATGCCGCCAACCGTTAGGATTAGCAAACCAAGGGTTTTTTCTTTAGTATTTACTTCTATGCAATCTAAGTTGCATGGTGCAGCTGTGGGTTTGTCACTGGCTTTTCACATCATTTTTATGTCATCCGATCTGTCTCTGGAGGCTAGGAAGTTTAATTTTTGTAGTCTATTCTATGATGAAATATGAGAAATATAGCTTTAGGTGGTTGTGATTCCAATTAACCGTACAAGTAAATCAAACAAAAACTTGTGGGGACACACACACATTTGTCTATCCACCTTGTTCGCCCACCACTTCCACTGCCTTCTTACAAGATGTATTTGTCCTTGCTTTCGTCAAGTTGAACAACTAAAAATTTGTTGCTATTTCTTGGGTGATTATTAGCATCCAAAGCAAACCTCAATAATCTATGTGGAGTTTCTTGAAGATCTGAAGGATATTCATGCAAGGTGGAGTTCTGCCAATTTATTGAGAATAAGAGCAGAAGGGAAAATGGGAGGCTTTGATACTGGACTTGGTTCCATGAATTTGCTTGAATGGTTGGAATTGGTGGAGGGGATCTAAACCATGATGCTATAGTGGGTCGTCGAGGATGGCAATGTTGACATTAGTAATCTGTTGAAATTGTTTTGTGTGTGGTGGATATAGAAATGCATTAAATTTGTATTTGGAAAAGACCGTATTACCAGGGGATAGTGTGTGTTAGTGTGCCCTTTAAATTTTTTTTAGGGGGTGGGGCTTTGAGGGCTCTCTGTAGAAAGTCCCACCTTATAATTCTTTCGCTGCTGTCTTTATTTTAGTAGACCCCCGTCTTTTCATGTAATTTGGATATAAACAGCCCTACACCAGAATTTTATATTTTTCTCCAGCTTCCTCTGCTGACTGAAACTATCTTAGGTTCATTTGCTGGAGAGTCACATTAACAATAGCTTTTTGTTATTTTTCCCTCCTCAGGGAAGGAAAGGAGAAGTTCTCGCAGAATGTGCCTCATTTACTTTGTGAAATATTATGATGCCTAATTCTTAGCTTTTGTCTTTCACAGGTTGTAACTGACCTTTACAAAATGCATTGGCGATCCTTATCTGTGAACACTGTGAATGTCCTTCTCGAAATCTATTCATCCATTGCTTTTCACTCCCACCAATTGAACTCTGAGACAACACTGCAGCTTAAGTTACAGAGAGCGTGCTCTATCCTTGAGATATCGGATCCACCCATGGTTCACTTTGAAAATGAGTCATACCAGAATTATCTCAACTTCCTGTATGATCTACTTATGAATAAACCGTCTTTGTCTACAGAGAAGAACATAGAAGGAGAGCTTGTCTCCGTATGTGAGAAAGTATTGAAGATGTACCTGGATTGTGCTGGATTGAAATATACAACACAGAAAGTAGTCAGTAAGCCTATGGTACACTGGGTTCTTCCATTGGGTTCAGCTAAGAAGGAGGAATTGGCCGCCAGGACGCCTCTAGTCCTATCAGTTTTGCAGATTTTGGCTAGTTTAGAAAAAGATTCATTTAGAAAGCATATTTCACAGTTATTTCCTCCATTGGTAGATCTTGTTCGGAGTGAGCATAGTTCAAGAGAAGTACAGCGTGTTCTAAGCAACATATTTCAATCATGTATAGGACCAGTAATAATGCAATTGTGATTTATTGTTCAATTTACAGTGCACAAAATTGAGTCGTTATCAAACCATTTTATTCTCCTTTTCCCCATGGAAGCACTGCCTCTGTTTGGTCCTGCTGTATTCCATTTTTGTTAGAGCATGAGCTCGACCAGGCTAATTGTTTATCTATGCATTTAGAGACGCTGCTTGTTATTATGTGAAGGATATTTACTTGAATATTAATTTGTTCTTTCTAGTTGCAGGCAAAATGCGCTCTTGCATATTCCTGTTGGCCTAATGCTACTCCGATCCGAAGGATTTGCTTTCATTAGAAGTTTTTGTAATGTATAATTAGACCAATGGAGTTAAAAATAATAATAATTCAATGTAAAAGTGACCAATTAATTATACGCTTGTTTTCTTATGAAACGACCAGGAAATGAAAACTTCCGTTCTAAATTACTACTTGCGAGATGTGTAGTGCTGACAAGGCTAAAACTAGTCTAGATGGGTTTCTTCCCCTGGTGGACAGCCAGACTTGTGAGCAGTCCTGTGGGCAGTGGTGCTGGAGATTGTACCGCCAGTGGGTGAGAAGGGTTGGGTTGGGGGATGATGAAATTTTTTCACTCTCTCTCTAACTTCTTACACATTTTTGAAAACCTTAAAATCTGTTTTTATTCGAAAAGGTGGAATTCCCATTTTTTGGACTCCAAATGTGTTCATTTTTTTCAAATTTAGACCCCTTTACACTTTTTAAAAAGGTTAGGGACTGCACTGTCCAAAGGTCCCTCAGCTGCTGCTTTTTCCAAACGTTAGGGGATTGCTCTGTGAAAAATGAAAAGTGGGACCGGCGCAAACAAAAACAAGCAATTTCCCGATTTTTGGAGAAATTTTGAGGAACTCAGAATTTCGCCAAAAACTGACAACCCCAAAATTTGCCCAAATATCGGGAAATTGCTTATTTTTGTTTGCGCTATTCCCAGTTGCCATAAAATCTAATTCTTTCTACACCATATCAAAGTACAATTTAAATAATGTTATTTGTACATAGTAAAGTTACACAATGGTTTATATGGAAATGAGGGACAAAACGAGTGGACTTTCTTTTTATTGAAGAAATTCTTACCCAATTATCTCACGTCATGTATATGTAAACCATTAAATAAAAATTATGTACATGTAACACAACCTTTGCAATTTTTCCATTTAATTAACAGTATTTTGTAAGTTGCATGACATTCACAGATTATATAATGAGCAATATCAATATTCCTTTTGGGATTGGATCGACCGGTTCGATGATGACTTAAGATCCTTTAAACTGATAGTCGGGGAAAAAAAAAATCAAAAGGAAGGTCCAGCAGCAAATAGGTGACACAACACCGATTTCTCCACTAAACTGGTTCACTTTTTAATTAAAAATTAAGGTTTCTGGGTCCAATGTCACAACAGTTGGAAGGATAAAATTTTTTTATTTTCCTACCATATGCTGATCATCAGATCTGCTTTCTTTAACCTCTCTCTTTCCTAATTTCAACGTAGATCGCTTAACATTACTAATGGACACCCTTCAAGCCTTTAAAGAAATTAACACCTTTTGAGACGACTACATGAAATGAAGTGCTATTTTTGTTTGAAAATTTGTTCCTTATAATAAATTATTACTTTTCTTGAAGCAAATTGTTAAAATTAAATTTTGACATTGAAAAATAAATTTTAAGTTAATAAAAAAATAACCTAAACATAGACTAAAATGCTATATAAATTACGTTGATTTTTTATTTTTTATTATTATTTTTTAGATTAGAAGTACGTACAATGAAAATTAAATAGAGTCAAATTTATGTCTTTTAGCTACATATATTAATTAATCTTATAAAATCAACGTATTTTTCTCAAATTTTTTGGTATACTTACTTCGGTCCGATCCTAGTTCGACATTTTGACCCTTGATTCTTAGCATTTTCCGATTCGATGCCTAGGTCGATTTTCAAAACATTGGTAAAGACTCAAAATCTTCAATTAAGTCATCCACGAGGTAAGTGAAGGCAAATAAACATGATTTCTATTTTGATACTGCAAATACAAACTGGTAGTATAGGTGGCATTTGCGAAATTAGAGTGTGTTCCATAGATCCCAAATGATGCCATTCGAGCAAGTGCATCATAATTAAAATTAAACTAAAACTACCTTTTACATATCTGAATGCTCAAAGGGCACTCGAACGAACAGCTGCCCATGAAGGGTCACCACAGCTGACGTCTGATGAGGATCAATTCTAGTAGGCAAGGTGACTACCTGGAAAAAAAGACAAGTTTTAATGGTCAAATTTTTGAGCTATGAGCAAATAAATGCAGAAATTGAAATTGAACTGAAATGTAATGAAATATTCAAAGAGAGATTGAAACTCAAATCATCAGATTTGGTAATAACTAGCCAAGTCACCTTTTTGAAAGGAATGACGCCCCATGGATTATCCAGTTGTTCTGGTTGACCAGATATAACCAAACGCCCCGCAGGATCAGACTGGACGCGCACCTGATATCAATAAGGAATATAAACCGTTTTTAAAACTACCTAAGAATGATGGAGTATACAGTAATAATACTAAAAACAAAAGCAAAAACTCCTATCTAAACAATTCAAAATCTTATCATCAAAACTTGAAGTTGCATCAGGAATAATTTTACAGTCCCCAAAAAAATTAAAATTCAATATACTCATCAATAGTCCCTTCTCCCTCGCCCCCTACCTCCCATCAATCTCAAAAGATCTATAGAAAAAAAGTCAAAAGAAAATTCTTGCAATCTTATTGAGATAGAATCGGATGGTGTATCAAGTATTTCACAAGAATTTGAAACGGGGCTTCACTGGAAATATAAATACGTACTTCAAACTTCCGAAAATCTTCTGGCCCGTAAGGACTATTCCCAGAGAACAAGTCTCAGAGAACGTAATATCCAGAAAGGTTAGCCAAAAATGCATGCATTTGTCCCATTGTCAGAAATATAGTTCTTGTCCACTACTTTTTGACAGGAAGTGGTGAAAATATCAAATTTGATTTCCCTTTTTTTTTTTCAGCAATCTTTGCTTATTTGTTTTCACAAGACATTGACATAAACAAGGCAAAGAAAACCCTATTATGCTAAAAGGTAACTCCGATAAATTCTCAAAGTTGTATACAAATTGAAATCTTGTCACGAAGCTAATAGGCATAAAAATTGTCAGCTTTAGTCTAATTCGTTGTATGTAATCAGTTTTATGAAACTGACTTCATGTTTTTCCACACAATCCTATTAATAAAATGTTCATCAAACACTCTCATAAGATCATCCACCAATTCCAAGATGCTTGCACAAAGTAGCATGCAAATTATTTGGTTCGAGTGCTCTTTATCCATCTCAAATATGGCTTTCCTCAAATCCTCCTTTACGAACAGTCTCTCAAGCAACATCCTATTTTGGGGGGAATAGGTCAACAATCTAACTCTCAGCCATACCATACTCATTTCCTCTCTATGCAGTCATATAAAATCTATTATTGCTCCACATAGCCTCTAAAGAATTCCCCCAACATCTATGACATAACCAGTCACACATAAACTTAAAAGTTGATGTACTCCTCTTTCACCCGTTTTAACACTTTCCTTTTGCCTTGAACTTGTCTCTCGACCCAAAAGTGCTTCCCCAAATCATTCTTCAATTGTACTTTCCTTGCTACTTGATTATTATCCAAAGATCCCTTATCGGCCTAATTGGATAGATTAACCTAAATTCAACATTCTTTTTAAGAATGCCTCCCCCACTCTAAACAAAACTGGTGCGGAATTGAAATTTTTGCAACAATAAAGTTCAAAAATTAAAAAATATGTAGAGAATCGAAGTCTTTGTTTATATACACAAAATAATTCTCTGATCTTATTAATATAAGGAACTAAACTAAAATCCTAAAAGAAATAAAATTAAAATCCTAAAAGGAAACAAAATCCTAACATAAAAGAACGAATAAATTCTATTCTAAATAACATAAAAGAAAAGGAGATAATGCCCTGTTACGACAGGAAATCGTATTATATATAGGATTATCCCACACCTCTCCCCCTCTTGAAAAGGACTCAACCTTGACTTGTTGTAAGGAATATTAGTCTTAGGAATAATATTTCAAAGTGTCTGCAACATTGAATGTGGATGAAATATTCATATCCACCAAAAGATCAATCTTATAGGCATTGTCTCCAATTTTCTTCAATACATAAATGGATCGATCTTTTTATCTTTTAGTTTGTCATTAGTTCCAACTTTCCTGTTTTTCGAAGATGTGTCGAGATGCTTGCGTATATACTATCTCGAAGGGAGCTCGTTTAGTTGAAAGGTTAGGCATACTACTGAAAGAAACTTTAATTTGTGGTAAAATTGAATTGCACTGCTTAGGCTTATCGCCACAAACACATGGAATCATGTTACCCAGTGGACCCACCTCATTATGGCCATTATTCTATGGATGACTAGTACCGCTATATTTTGAGGAAGTAAACTTCTTCCAAAGTGTCATTTAGAAATGAGGAAATTTGACATCCCCATTGGAAGTAACAGATTACGAAAGTCGCAATAGGACACAACTCGGAAAGGTGCAGAACCCTACGCCTTCAACCTTGCCTTCCACCAAAATCCATACCTTAAAGCATCCCATTAACAAGTTCTCGTAAGTTTGATTTTATATATGGTCAGGCATCCTAAACCCATCAGCCTTCCTTGGTGGAGCCTGAAAACTCACTGAGGTTGTGTTGATGTTTTGCTTTTAAAAAAAAAACATCCCATTAACAAAACCCGATATGGTCCCTTCCCTTCACTCAATGGAATCTTGAAACAATCTCGTCTTGATTCAACTATACCAAGATAAAGTCATCACCAATGTTGCCAATGTGATGTGAACCGAAAGTGTTCCGAGAGACCGAGGATTTGAAAGCATCGGCTCACTTTTCGACATCAACCTCCTCGGATTTAGCTCTAAAACCAAAACATCATAAAGCAAAATGGCCAACCACATAGGCAACTACTACCTTACAGGACTAGTAAAGCTTCTTCCCCCTTATAAAAAAGCGACAATGAATCATGAACTCCAACACACCACTGGATAGTGTGGACACATATTGGTATGGTTGGGCATATTACCCTGACTAGATTGGCTCACCCAACCAACTTGGGTCGGTTCGAAGGGTAAGTTAAGTTGATTTCCAGTTGGCTTGGACCTAACTCGAAACCATCAATTCAAGGCAGGATTTTTTTTTAATAAAAAATAAATAAATAAATTGATTTTTCACATGTAAAATACCCATTAAACCAACAACCCAAACCAACTCGGTACATGGGGTGGTTGAGTAGGTTTTTAGGTAGGAATTCACCCAACCTGAAGGTAGTCTGGTTGGGCACCCGAACTCAATCCATGCACACCCCTACATATTAGACAAGAGGTTGCAGTCTTTCTTTTTTTAAACGATTTAGATGCATTTCTGATGTGGCAAAGAGACAAATCCGATTCATTAATCAAAAAAGAAGGAAAAAAATGATACAGAAAGATGTGGAAGCCTAAC